GACATATTTATGTTTTTTTTTTTTTTTAAAGAAAAATAAAAAAGTTCTCTTATAAAAAGAATAAGTTCCACCCACCAGGAATAGGCATCCACAACCACCAGGAAATCTGCCCATGAAACAGACCCGTGACATCTAAGTGGAGTCTAGACCAGGGTCCCTTAGGAACCTCCCAATTCTGGGCAGCTGCCGCAGGCAGAGCGGGGCAGAACAACTGGCCCAGGGAGCAATGGCCCACTCAGGCTGCTATCTCCTCATCCATGCAGGGCCACCAGACATAGCTGCGAGCTAACGCCTTCATACGAGCTATGACTGGGTGGTCCCTATGGAGGCAGTTAAGCACTTGGCGGCAGAGGGAGGGAGATGATGACCCTATCCCCCCAAAGCAACCCCCCCTGTGGATGGACAGCTCCAACTGGTAGGTTTTAAAGGGGCGGAATTCCTCGGAGACCTTGCCCATAGGCCAACTCCTCAAGACTCACGAGAAGATCTGGAAAGGGACAGGGTTGGCCATAGAGTGGGCACCATGTCCGAGGCAGTTAGAGGTAGGTCGAGAGAGGCAATGGGCAGCACAGATAAGGAGGGTACAGATTGTGGGTCAGTCATAGGGAGAGGGCAGCAGCTGAGAGCATCGGCATGCCCTAGCTGCTTGCCTGGATAATACAGCAGCATATAGGAATACGCTGCAAGGTACTCCATCCAACGGGTCATCCAAGGAGAGAGAATGGGAGGGTTAGAACAGTCACCGGCCAGAAGCCCAAGGAGTGGCTTGTGGTCAGTGAAGAGCATAAAAAAGGACTTAGCATCTTGCACACTCCATTCCCTTTCAGTCTTGCAGCACTGGAACTTGTTCAGTTCCAGTTTTAACAGCAATCTCCCAAGTTATTTGCTGTGTCCTCAGTGCTCTACTAGACATGGAAGCTGAGAGTAGAGACTAGAATATAGCAAGTTGTATTTACTGGCTGAAGCTGACACTTTACCCTATATCTTTAGTTCCACTAACATTAGAATACCAATTTCAAAGCAGGTAGAAACCAGTAGTTTACAGCAAGCCTTTTCTCATAAGGCTTTTTCCCATTTTCTTATATTTGGGACTATGAGCAACAACATCCTCAAATGGATCTAGTAATATCATTTAGTTTCTCATGGTAAATAATTTGAGATCCAGTCTGTGAGTAGCTGTGTATATCATATAACTTAATATCCTAAATCAGAAAAGGACTTTCATCTTAGCCTAATATAACACTTTCCCAATATAAGCACTTTTGGTTGGAAGATTTAAAAAGATACTATATGTATTACAGGTGTGTCCTTATGATCCAGGACAGGTTGAAACTATATTCTCCTATATTGTCAGCTTTTATACAGAATCTCAAAATGCTCTAATTACTCTATCCCTGACCAGCAGAACAGGATTCATCAGTAAAACTATTTCTCCATTTTGACATCAATCCTAAAACACATGAGGTTGTCAGGATTTGTATGGCAGCATGCAAAATTAAACAAGTTTTTATTCTGCTAGTTGTTGCCAACTATGGAGAACAATGCTCGTCTCCATTTCAAGATTCATTGAGCCAATGCTGTCTGAAGTTTCTGCAGTCATGTGACAAGCATAACATCATGAAGCCCTGTTACCATCCCAGTGAAGTTCATTTGGGGTAGCGTGATGGCTCAAGTCATTTAAGACCTGAGTGTCCCACAATGGGGTAAGCTCACATTCTCACCCTAACTCCTGCTAACCAAGCAGTTTGAAAGCATGCAACTGTGAGTAGATAAGTAGGGATGCAAAATTAGGCAGATAGCAATTAAGACTATTGAACCTGTCTAAATATAAATAAATGGCCCAGGTTCAGCATTAAGCATGGACATATTAACTTATTCTTTTATGCTTTAGTGAAAATAGTACATGTTATGTCAGCTATTGTACTACTATGTATTCCCTTCAGGTTTGCAGGGGTCTGAAAGAGAATGTTGCCTTTTAGATAACTTATTGTTTAATCTACCAATATTCATTTTTAGATTTGTATTGCTATATCAATGTTTATACTACCCAGATTGCTAAATTTAACCTTTTTTTCTTTTGCCATACATGTGTAGTCTGAACAAGCATCTTATCATTTTTTTAAATTAAGATTGTCTTTTAGCCAAAATTCTTTGTATGTACCTTTCCTAATTACCCTGATATTGTCAATTTATTTTTTGATATTTCAATACTAATCCTCTTCTACTGGTGAATGATCACAATAATGTTTCATTTTAATAAGGAGGGAGAATAACTGTTTCAAGAGACTTTGTTCTGTAGAAATAGTCAATGTGTTTAGTCAGGAATCAGACATTTTAATTATTTTGCTGTATGTGTTTCAGAAGTTTTATTCTTTCTTATTCTGATTTCTCTGTGTAAGAGAATATATACATATATAATGTCACTATAAATTGAAGTTTTTTTCTTTATTATTTTTTTAGAAGCTCATAACATATATGAGGTTTTTTTTGGGGGGGGGGAATTGGTGAGTTTCGTTTCTATTCCAAGGGGGCAGGAGGGTGAAAAAAATCTGTTTCTGAAGGTTGAATCACACTTCTGTAAGCCAACTTTGCAAGAAGATGGAAAGGATAGAGGGAAAAAGAGAAATCCCACCTTCAACTATAAATGGGCTCAACGTTCAAGGTATTTCTCTTGCTACAGATGCCAAAGCCATACAATAAAATGTATTCATGTGAATATTTGTGAGGAAAGAGAAAGAAAAGATATTGTACTGCTATCCTGCTTATCAATGAATTCTTTGAGCACAGGATACAAAACTAAGGGAGGTGTTTAAAGTATTACATTTTTAAAAGACAAAACTAAAATGATATTTCATCATTAAAATAATTTAATTAATTTCACATTGGTTGTACAAAAATATTTTAACAGTATTCAGTAATTGTTCAATAAATATATAAATAAGTCTTAAATGATCATCTTATGGATGTAAAAGTTCCAGATACCTCTTCTGGGTAAAAAGCTTTTCACAGAAAAATTCACTATAAACACTCTTTGAAATATCTGGTTCCCTCAACATAAACATTATAATTTTAAAATGCTCAGATATAAATATCTTCTAGAATAATAAATAATACTTCACATATGCTTATATTAATAAATAATAAGGTAGAAACACTCTGAGAATAATGCACATTCATGAATATAGTAAGTTTCAATGCTCAACACAAGATATATGATTCTTGCCCCTTGGCCTCCCAACAATCCTGTCAGGTGACTAGATGAAGGCATTTCAGGAGTTTCATGGCCAAACTGGGATTTCAACCTGGACCTTTTTAGATTGGCACTCTAACCTGATTCTCACAATAGACAGCCCAAGGCTGGCTTTGACTCTCATCAAATACCTATGCAAATCTATAGGTTGCTCTGTGCCCAAGAGTAACAGAAACTATTACCAATTTGTTTTACTCTCACGGCAATCTTATGCAACCACCATGAGACTTCCATTTTAACTGCATTTAGTAATGTCTTTTGTTTTCCAAATCTTTATTCCCCATCTTATCTTTGCATTAGGACATTTCCTTTATGCATGTGATAGATGCATTTCTAATGATTTTCTCTCAATAAATTTATGCAATAAATAATTTTTTAAAGTTGTTAATATAAAAGACTCTTCTTAAAATGTAGGTTTGTTGGAAATGGCTCAGCTTCTTTTAAGGATGCCAACAGTGAGATAATTTGAAGCTTTTCTTATGATTGTGTCTCCGCATTACTCTTAGCCCTGGAGTGAGGAAAAAAGAAGGGGGGAAATGAAGAGTTGTTTACAACATATAGGTACACCTATAAAACAAATTTCCAGAAGAAAATACTGATATGTATGTCTCTGCTGGGGTATGTCCAGTTCCAGAATCTTTCCTTTATTTGTCTAACAGTGAAGCTCATTTCTGGCCAGTCCAATGAATTAAGGAGAAATTGCCTGACTTGAAATCAATCAGTGGAACAACTTGCCTCCAGGCATTGTGTGTGCCCCATCACTGGAAGGTTTTAAGAAAAGATTGAACAGCCATTTGTCCAGAATGGTATAGGTTCTCCTGCCTTGAGGAGGAGATTGGATTAGAAGACCTCTAAGGTCATTTCAAATCTTATGATCTATGTTCTATGTTCTAAACACTATCTTTGATAAGACTTATTTTGAATAAACACATTCAGAAAAAAATGTACTGTAAGTTTTTTTTAAAATTAGAAGAAAATAAGGGCTTACTTTTCCAGAAGATTTGTGATGACTCTTTTCACCCAGAGTGCAGTGGGGTCCAAGCACACTTGTCTGCCATCCTTAAGAGTTGCACTGCAACAAATGAAAATCATGATAATCAAGCACTGAGTTTGCAGAAGGTTACTGTCTTTCAATTTGTCTGTTTATTGGTTTAATCTACAAGACTTCTATGATTTTCCAATCATACAAATCACACCAACCATTTGGTTTTAATAAAAAAAAAATCAGAAGATATGTGCACAAGGTTTTCATGGGGCAGTTGGGCAGCAATGCTTCATGGTAAATTGTGTCTTAAAACCAAAGGCAAATATGAAGTAGCAAAAGTATACTTACATGACCTGAATGCTACTGCAATGTGGCCCACTTTTGATCAAGTTGACACTTGCAATGTGTCCACGGAGGCTGGGATTAGAATAGGTTTCTATACATTGACACCGAAGTTCAAGACCTACCCGGGACAAAGAAGCTCCTATAAAAAAAATAGAAGTATAGAAAATAAGCTCACTTGATCATATATTTTAAACCTCTTTTCCAAAGGCTTGTTGTAATATGCTTTTCTTTAACCTGATTCAGTCCCATTTATGAAAATCATTTCAATTATCCCTAAACTCATTAAGTTAATTATTCCTATCAGTGCTCCCTTATTTATTATCTCTCAAATCTTATCTGCAAAAAAAAGGAAGTAATAACATTTTGACTTGCAGATTATAGTAAAAAATATTTGCATCGCAATTGCATTGCTAGTTGAGACAATAGATCTATCTCTAATCAAACCTTTTGCTTTCTTTGTAACAACCATCCAGATCATTAAAAAGTTGTGGTAAATGCAACTATTCCCCATTAATATTTCCTAGGATCTAGTGCTCAAATGTAGGTTACTCTAGGATCTAGACGTGTCATTTATTAATAACAACTTCTGAAAGATTTGTCCTTTTAAATAAATTTATGCATAAACTGCATTTAGTATGTTTTACTTAAAAAGAGAAGAAAAAGTACAAAAGTATATTTTCCTTTGGAAGTCAAAAGACTTCTGAAAGTCTGTTTAGCATTTAATTATGAAATAACAACTTCTTACTGAAAATGATTTTTCCCTTACAAGCAATTATTCTTCTCCTAACAACAGTAAGCTTATCTTCCCCAGAAAATAGTTTAGCCTATCATACAAATCATACAAACTCTGCCTACCTTCTGTCAGTGTTGCAGAGACCAAGAGAAGAGCCAAAAATGCAGTCGCAGCCTTGAAGTCCATGACAAGAGAGGGAATTGTTTTCTTGGCTGGGATTCTGGAGAGCAGAAGACTGTTTGCTCAAGAAAGCCTGTGTTTGACTGAGCTTCACCACTTCTCTGGCTTATATACTAATAGACCTTGTCACAGGAAATTCCCAGGGCATGTAAGGCACTATCTTAAAATGAGTCATTAGGAGATCTGGAAGCAACAGTTTCCGACTTAAATGATGACAGCCAATACTGATTTATTTACTTCTACAGATGTGTATTCACACAACTTTTAATTTTGATTTTTTTTTTTTGCTTTTCAAAATCAATATGTTTGCATTTTCTAAGTTCATTGCCTGAAGAACAATGCGTCTTTCTGACCACATAGAAAGCCTGTATCACAAGGTTTGTTATCTACAAGAATCAGTTGAGACTTCCGTATCCATGTTTGAAATATAAATTGTTTGGTTCTGGGTTTTTGCATAGTTTTAAAAAATTTAATTCTTTGTTCATATAACTTTTTATGATCTGTAAGCAGCCCAGAGTCACCTTTTCAGAGAGATGGGAGCATATTACTTTAATAAATGATAAGAATTTAAACTGCTGAATGGAAGAATATATTTCTCCACTACACATACAAACTATTAACCTACACACTCTTTTAGTACTGCATTTTCTAAGTATCAAATGAGATAATGTCATTTAATGCATGCCATTGAGACATTAATCCCTTAAACTTTATTTCAAAATATAAAACAATCCCTTTAACCCAGACTTCCATATTCTATACATATACATACATACACACATACGCACACAAAGTCTGGGTTAAAGACATCCAAGATGTCTATTAAAATTACGATGAGTTATTAATATGCTTAGGTATCATAGTCCTATAAAATAACATACCACAAATACAAATGTAATCTCTTACAGAATACATACTTAAGGAATGGATTGGAAGAGTTCAACATATTTTTGTTTTATGCACTTAATGAACAACTAGTTCTACTAATTTAAAAAAGATATAACAGTAGGGATCAGATTGTGAGTAATTTGGGGCACAAATGGTTCCTAACCAGTGATCCTAGGCTACTGAGCATCTGATAGTTCATTCATTTTCATGTGAAAATACAGTTCTCCCACAAAACCTGGCAAAATTTCAGGAGGTAATACGTACTATTTTGTATTGGGCAATAAAATGAATAAAAATATGAACAAAGAAAAAGTTGATATTAGCATAACTCTAAATTCAATGTTTTCTTGTGAAACTGCATAAATTCTGCTTCTATTTTATATATCTACATACATCTTGCTAAAGAATAACTAATCAAACAGTGATTCTTTATTCTGTGTAAGCATGAAAGCATAGTAACTGTGGATTTCATTGAGCTATTGCCAATAATTAAAAAATTGGACTCCTCTTACCCAAGAATGCACAAATTATGATTCCCAAAGTTTACCTCTGGAGGTATAAAATGTGACATAACAGTAATATAATTAAATATGTAGAGATTTACTTTATGATAGTACAAAATTTATTTATTTTTTATTTTAAACTGTTTTCTTTTTTTTTTTTTCTTATTCAATAATACAATTGCTTCCTTCAAGATGATGAGGAGTATCTCTTCATTTCGGAGTCCTACGGGATTGGGCGGCATATAAATCTATTAAAAGTTAAAGTTCATTCTCAGAAGAGTAATTATTACCTCTACTAGTTAGGACGACAACATTTCTTAAGTACTTCAATAACTAGCTAGGACTGGGGAGTCATGAACAGGCAGTCAAAAAGACAAGATGGTGGTCATAACTTTGTGACCAAAAGCTTGTGCCTCCTTTTTTAGAAATGTTGTTCTTGTGATGAATAAAAAGGTTCTTGAGAGTCCCTGTCATAAATTCTCAGGTGCATCTTTTTGATGCCTATTTCTTGAAATTAAGAATGTTTCTGACATTAACCAATATTATCCTAATGTGTGCTTCATGCTAAAAGAAAGTAGACTTAACAATACAAGAAGTAAAGGATAAATATTCAGGACTAAGGGAATGTAGACCAGGGATGAGATGAGATTTGTAGAAATTTTGAAGAAAGGGAAAGAGATCAAAATGGCTTGTCTTTCCTTTCAATATAATAGTTCACCTTATACATGCAGAATATTATGCCTTCTAATTGAATACTGATTAATATATTACTAATTAGTTTCCACCTCTTGTGAAACTCCCCCCCCCCAATTTAAAACTACTAATCTATTAGCAACCTGTTGAACTGTCTTCTATATGTTATATTGGTAACAAAGTAGTTAGCAGGAAAAACACTAATATTAAATCAGAACCAAATTGAAGTTTCAAATCACTCTGTTAATGAACTGTTATTGTAACCCACTCATAGAAAATTACCATGGTATCTTAACTATCCCTGATCACCCCAAAAGTTATAAATAAATTGTCCTGAGTCAAAAATCCACATCTGTTTCTTCATAGCCTCTCTTGTCAATTGTTATTTAAGTGTAATACATTCAGTTTCCAGAATATGTCTTTCTTCAAGCAAAGATTGTTACCAGTTAACCATAATAAATCCATCCAGCTTTCCACTGTATTCGTAGAGGAAAGAGATTCGTTCATACAGGAAAGGAATTTGTCTCCCTCTCTTCCAGCTGAGGCCGTAATATTGGAGAAGTATACAGACTTAAACATAAACTTCTGAACAACAAATGGAATCCACTTCACTGGTTCTTCAGCCATGAGACTATCTCTTTGATCTAGAAGTGGATCAAAGTCCTTTTGTGTATCTTCAGACAAAGCTTCAGGTTGTTACATTTTTTGAAGATTCATTAAAGTTTGATTATTTACATAAGTGAAAACCAGCTAGAAGCTGCATATTTTCCCACCCTTCTTTCTTATATTCATACACTGTTTGGTCATTTTAATCTATAGAATTTAATCAGAAGGAAAACAAACAAACTTTTTTTCTCTAAATTTCAATCTAAAATTATAAGAAAAATTAAATAGAAATTGAAACTCCAGGTATTTTGCAAATTCAAAAAATATGAAATCCTGTGGTGAAAGTTTAATGTCTCGTCACCAGCTCCCCAAACATTGCCATGCTTTCCATACAGAAGAGACAGGTGTTGTCCGGAACAACATATATAAGGAGGGGAAAAGAGAAAAAGCAAGGATTGAAATAAACCAGCATTCAACCACTGATCAACTTTAAAAAAAAGAAATAAGTCAAAAAGTGAAAGTTAAAATTCCAGCATGCTTAGAAAATGAAATGCTTAACAGGGAGGTGGATACACCCAGTGATTTTTCAATCACTCCAAGAAGGAATTGAAATCTTCAAGGTCCCCTTTCCCCAGTGGATCCATGATTGTCCAAAGTCATCTTAGGTCATTCCTAAGTGCTCCCATACAAAACTAGAAAGGAGCACTGTCAAAGAACCAGCAATAGCAGCGAAATCAGCAGATCATTGGTAAGAGAAAAAAGAGAATCTTACCAAGCAGCAGCCATCTTGAAAGGAGGGGGATAAATAAATAAAATTATTGTCTTATTATTTTTTAATTACTTTTGATTTGGAAGAACTGCATTTAAGTCCCAGTTCAAATTCCAGAATAGTAACTGGCTGAAATCTATAGCAAACTGAATTCCATGCTTAGACAACGTGTTTCATAATTGAGAATGTAAATGTACTCTGAAGACAAAATCCCCATTTAATCTTATTGTCCATAAAATGTCACATTTAAAAAGATCTCTTTGACTAAGGGATCAGCTTAGTTCCAATATCTTTTATTGAAAAAAAAAGTTTAAGTTAGATTTATTTCTTCTTATTCCTCTCTTTTTAGTTGTGAACTTTTATCTCCTCTTCACAGCTTGATAAGAATTAAACTAACTATGGATGAGTTAACTTGATTCCTATTAAGTCAACATATGGTAAGAGAAGTAGAAATGGGTGAATAAAATCACAGTAGGATCATAGCTGTGACCTAATTGTCATTATTATTATTTTTAAATTGTGCCCCAGGTGCTTTTCTTTCTGGTAATCTTATTTTTAACTTTTGCTTCCATTCAAAAGTTTCCCCTTTCATGGATGCCTTTTCTCTTGCCTTTGCCTTGCTTTGCACGAAAATAGCATGCAATCTCAAGTTGACACATAGGTGTGCTATTGTCATGTTGAAGTTCCCAGCTTCTTCATATTTTTTCAGTTTTCTAAGTCAGGTACACAGTGGCTGACAAGGAATGACTGTATTTTTCTCCCTGAATCAGAAAGACTTCCTTCCCTAAGGCAGATCTGTCCTAATCTCAAAGCTTCCCAAAGTTTCACCAGTAACATCGAGACTTAGCTCTGGACTCCAACAGAAGAAGGAAAGAACAACCTGTCTGAAAGGGTGTGTCAATTTTCAGAGCCTCAGACTAGGCACTCCTTAATTTTTATTATGGGTGTGCCAGCCTTTCCTTAAATTTCAGGTGCATTGGCCAACATTAATAGAATGAAGCAAAGGTACTCCTAAAACCTACATCCCTGTTTGATTACCAAAAGAATCAGATCCTGTTTCTTAAATTCCCGATCAACATGATAATATAAATGAAATTGTTATTAATTAAGATGTCATGCACATTGGGGTTCTACCATTATTTTTATTTTCTGCAAGTTTACTTTTAGCATGTTTAAACAATTTTACAAATACTTCTGGTTGAAACTAGGAAAATTTATCCCAAATTTAAAATAAACAAAATAAACAATTGACTAGCCTTTTGGAGCCATTGGGTACAATTAACATATTTGGAAATCACTTTGAGTTGGTAACTTTAAGGAAGTAGTTGCTCTAGGGGAAGGTTTCTCCATTCACACAATGGCTTACAGAGTGAATGTACCTAGTTGCAAAATACCCAATTACCAGAAGTCAAGGAGGTGGCTCCTAAAACTATCTATGAAGTGTATGTGAAATCCAGAGATATGCATGGGAATAGGAAAGAAGGCTAGTGCTTTGCTGGCAATGTTCCCGCTTCATTTTAATATTTTGACATTAAAATAATATCCAA